AAACAGGAAACTGGCTGTCTAACACCACTGGCCACAGAATGCTGATGAGGCCAGATGTTTACAGTTCTTTGATAGTTTTATGTGATCTCTATACTTCTCTTTAATGTGCATTTGTAATAATCAATCCACTATAAACACTAAATCAGCAGAGATGAGATCAAAGTATTTTTGTCTATGTTTTTTGTTGCTTCTTAAAAGTCCCATGTTTCCTGAGAATGCAGTACTTCAAGGACAGTGACATCTCAGATGAAGATTCTCAGAACTAGGCAAATTTTAGGACAGTGTGACCATCATGCCCAAGCCCATTTTGAGAATTTATTCTTCTCTGAATATGTATATATAACCTCTATGTATAACCATGTGAGGTAATTACATAGTCTGAAGGGTGGAAAGGCACATTAATGGCTGATAATGGAGATGAGAAGCGGCAGTTTTAGCTCCCTGACAACACAAGTTGGAATCCTACTTCAGTTAACACAATCTTCCATCCTTTTGAAAAAGTAACTTAAATTCTTCCATATCGCAGTGCATTTGATCAGACAAAATCTGAAAAGGTGAGGTTTTGCACAGATCCACCAGGCTGCTAACCTCCACCCCCAGCCAGAAATGATTTCTGGATGCACAGTAGAAAATTTAAGAAACACTTTGGGATCCTAGAGAATGAAAGGTGATATGTAACCGTATGCTTATTAATGAAAAATAGTGGGAAATAATGTTAAAAGTCCATAAAGCTGATGATGCAATTATTTAACCTCAAGTAGCTGTAGCTACATATACATAAAACCCCATATATTTGTAAATAAAGGAATAATATTATTTCACCATCTGATATAAAATTAATATTTCCAAGAACTAGATGATACAAAAATGTTACTGAAAATAAAATCTAGTATAAATAAGCAAATGCCACTAGCAAGATCTTGCGTGTTACAGTAGTGAACATAGTGATTTTCCAGTCAGACCCAGCTGTCAAAGTGCAGGCATTTTACTTACGAAAACCTGTGAGTTGTATTTGAAAACCCTTATTAATTATTAATACAACCCAAAAGCATGAAAAGCATTTGAAAGGATCTTAATTTCTAGAAAAATAAATAAAAATATTTTTTCCCTTCCATTGTCTTTAATTTGCTTTGAAAAATCTTGATCGCAGATTTTTAGTTATGGGTATTTCATCGGTAGATTGAAACTTACTTCTTAAAAGATGTTGTAGCCATGTTTTAAGTGTCCTTTAAAACCTTGAAAGTACTCTTTAGTGAAGGAAAATATGGCTTAAAATATTTGAGAAGTAGAAGAAAATACAATTAAAAGCTGTGGATAGTTTGCACAACAATTATACTGATGTATCAGTGACACCTCTTGGGTTGTTTACTGAATTGTTTCCAGTTAATCTAGTCGCCTCTGAAAAGAGCTGAACAAATAAACATTCTCCACATGCCTTTTGAGATGTGGAATGAGGTTCCCAGCCGAGTTCTTTTTAAACAGTAGCCTAAGTTAGGCCAATTTAACTTGACAAATTCAATTAATTGTAGACTGTCAGCAGTTAAAATATACTAACACATGCAGAATAAAAGAAAAAAAATCTTCAAATTGTCTGACGTTTCTCCAAATATACAGGCTTTCTTTCTGATTCTTTCTTGACAATAAGTGTTTATTGTTGGTGGAGATGTGTAATATTTTTATGGGACACGAGTGATCTCAGATGCTTTCATTTAATCTGTTGATCTGTTTGTAGTTAATGTAACTAGAAAATGTAGTAAACCATTAACTAATTATTTTGATTCAACACTTGTTCTATCTACAGAAGTCCCATGCTCTTGCATTATATATATTTTATTCTCTATGCAAATAGTTATCTAAAGTGTTAGAGGACCACTGAGGGATCTAATTACCTGTTCATTTCCTGTTTTTTTAGTGGTGAGTGTTATTGAACTCAAGGTTTTGGAAGGGCATGAGACAGCACAAGGCACCCATAGCTCAGCATTAATGAAGGGATTTTTTTTGTCACGAATGTGAGCATCAAGTTTAGAATTCCAAGAACTACTAATTTTAACCCCAGAAGGATGGATTCTCTACCTTTTCCTTTCTGAGTCTCTTCCTCACCTCCCTGGGCAACATTTTATAAAAACTCCTTGTGCCACAACAAGTATTTTTCTGCATATAAAAGCCAGGGCTGGTGTTAGGGGTAGCAAGCAGGACAATTGCCCAGTGCCCCTTGTCATAGATAGCCCCACACAACTAAGTTGTTCAGGCTTTGGCTTCTGCTGCAGGTGGTGGGGCTTGAGGCAGTGGGCTTCAGCCCCACCTGGAGAGGCTGTGGCTTTCTACCCTGGACCACAGTTAGTGTTAACACACCTGCCCTGCTTTGCTGTTCCCCTGAAACCTGCTTGTGGAACTCCCACCTCTGGCAGAGAACCATCCACTGGACTAGAGCATCATTAAAGGAGGGATATGGAGCACTGTTCTCTGAGCTGTATACCTGGGTGGCCACCCAAGAGAAATTCAAATGCTGCCCTGCTGATCAGTAGAGCACCTAAAGCCAGCATCATATGTTTCTAGTCGTGGTGCACATCTGCACACAACAAAATTTATTCCGCACGTGGATGGAAAAAAAATTAGAGGGAACGTTGCTATGGAGAGGAGGCACAGAAAAGATCTCTGTCCTTTGCCTAGCCAGGAAGCTTCTAGGCCTGTGGTGTCCAACCAATTCTGAAGCAGTAGCCACTATAGTGGCTACAACTATAGCAAACTAACCACACTCAAAAGGTCAAATAGCTACATTGTTCAAACCAAGTAGCCACACATGTGGCTAGTGGCTGGAGTGTTGGACACCACAGTTACAGGCACAGCAGTAGAAACTGGAAGATAACCCAATTAAGAACTGTTTGTTTTTCCCCAACTCTAGCTCCTATGAGTCCATGCTCTCTCTGCACTACTCCTTTTAAAAGCTCAAAATGTTAAAAACTCTGGAAATTGAACAGTGAAGGGATTCAATCTGTACCCTAATCTCATATATTGTATTCCTTTATCACACACTTGATGTAGAAGAAATTGAGTCACAGTAGTGACGTTGGGCCATGTATTGAATCACAAAGATTTTATTTAAGTTGTTGCTATATTTTGTTCCCCTTTGTGGCGTAATGGTGATTGCATGCTACAGCACATGACCATATCACATTTAAAATAGGATGATAGTGACTATCTGAACTTGGTCAGAATTAAATTTGAAAGCCAAATTTACAAAAGAAAAGAAAAGAAAAGAAAAGAAAAGAAAAGAAAAGAAAAGAAAAGAAACAGGCTCAGAGATTAATCAGTACCAGAATCAAGACTAGAACACACATCTCTTAGCGTCCAGATCTCCTTGCTCAGAGATTAATCAGCACCAGAATCAAGACTAGAACACACATCTCTTAGCGTCCAGATCTCCTTAGACAGACATGCCAGAAAACGCCCCAGAGCCCATTAGAAAATGCAAATGAAAGGAAAAAATGGTTAAATTCCCAAATTTTTGTTTAGCATTCCCAAAAGGCTTTTATTGAAAAAACTGAAAACATTTTAGGAAAGTAGGTTCTTCTTGTGAAACTTTTCATTAAGTTGAAAACCTAGCTTTTCCATTAAAAAATGGATGGATTTTTTTTTTGGCCAGCCATATTCATTTAATCATACTTCCTCCTAGATGCAGAAACATAATTAGAACATGTTGAAGCAGCTGATGTTAGCACACCCTTTATGTGGTAACAAGGGAAGGGGGAGGGGATAGTTTCCTAAATGACAGCTGCTCTGGGCCACCTTTATGTGCTAGACTTAGACTGGAAGATGGCAAGACTATACAGTTTTCTAATTTGGGGCAGTTCCTATTTTTCTGCACAAAGGAAACTAATGCTAGAAGAAGCTATTCCATCTGGCATCATGGGCTTTATAGAAAAAATGTGGTCTGCAGAGGATGGTCTTTTTAAGGCAGGGACTGGTAACCTGGACAATGATGATGTCTTCCCAGCTTCGTTGCTTGTTGGGCAAACATTTAACTTTCTGTACCTCATTTTGTCCACAGATAAAATGGGGAAACTAAATACTGTTCACAAGACTTGCTGTGAGGACTGATAAATCTTTGCAAATGTTTTGAGCAAAAGCAAATAGAAGGAACAAGGGCAAATAGTGTTTATTACTAATATCTGTGGTTCCATTTTCCATCGCTAATTTAGAAGCCCAATTTTAAAAACTGCAACCTACATGTCAAACAAGACATTTGTAGATGCTGCTACAGAAAGCTGGAATGGACAGTGCTTACAATCCAGACCAAAATATCAAGATTCACTTACAGCAGATATTAGATCACCCTGGCTTGGGGCTGTGTGTGAAAACAAGTGTATTCAACACTTTCCAAAGACAAAAGGAACTGAGCATTTTGTTCTATTTTCAGTCCAGTCATTATGGCAGAATAAGATTTTAGGATGTGCTTAATTATTCACAAATATTTTGCCCTTTCTGCACACATATAATTCTGATTCATATTACTTTATATTTGTACATGAAGGGGCGAATCAGCCTATAGGTTATATTTGAACAGTTCCATAAATCATATATTTGTCTTTTGAAGATGAGATGCAATCACTTGCAGTCATTAGAAATCCCATGTTAATTATTAAGGCAAAAGAGCCAATTAGACATCTAATAATCTGCCATTTTCATAAACATTGCTTACCAATATAGTATAAATATCACTGTATAATTCTTCACTTATAGAAGATTGAGTCAAACCTAACTTCTTTAGACAGAAACACTGCCCCTCTTCTTGATAAAACAGAATATTTTTTCAGGTAACTATGGACTGCATGTTACAAATTAAGATTGTATATTACAAAGTATTATGCTAGTAACTGATAAACAGGAATAGAGTGTGCTTTAAACAGAGACTAGCAGATGCAGCTATACATTCCATATACATTCTCACAAGAAATAAGATACCATTAAATAAAATACAGTAGAGGTAATCTGGTACTTACATTGACTTTCATCTTGTCTTTTTTCTGTTATTCCATTACTTACATATGCATAATACACCCTCCCTTTCTCCAAGTGAAGTTCTTCAGCAGAGTGAAGTACTGTGAGGTTTGGCTAAAAGCCTGGAGATTACATGTTCATCTTACACCTACCAGGGCTGGACTTGCTGTGAACCCTGCCCAGGGTGAAGTGAGCAGCCACTGAATGCATGGAACTAATTACATAGTAAATTCTCTCTAAGATTACGTAGCCGGCAGCTATGTTCATGTAAATGAAGAAATGGAACAGGGAGAAGCCTCTGGGAAGAAAAGGCAGAAACCAAGAGAAATTCAGATATTGTAGAGATAAAAGAAGGTCATGTGGACACTGCAGTGAAACTAAGAGAGATAGTGATTTGAGGGAATTTGGGGGCTTTTTCCAAAGGCAGTATCAGTTCTTCTTCCTTGTCAGTTTGTATTTAAAAATACTTTGATTTTGAATGTTTCATGTTCAGGTCCTAGAAATGTCATAGCTCAGCGAGATCTTTACAGCTACATAAATCACTGCAGAGTAACCACACATTTTAAAGGTAGAATCTGAGATAACACTAATGAGATTGTATTTAACATCTGCTGTTTACGATTTTCACAGGTTCCTTTATACAAGAAGTGATCTTGCCTACATTGTTTTCCTTCCTCTTTCTATATAGTAAGCACATTCTCTTTCCGCCCAAATCTTTAAAAATGCTGTGTCTTGTAGGAGGACAAAACCTTTGAAAAAAAAAAAAACCCACCCTAAATTTTAACCCTTTGCACTTGGACTGGACTTGGTAATAAAGAATCACTCAACCACCTTTCTAGTCTTGTCAAGTGTCTAGTATAGTGACACTTGCAATAATTTCTGATCTTTTCAGAATTGTTTTTTTCAGAAAAAACTCCAATACAATCTGACAAAATGGTTTTTGCCCATGATAGCTTATGTCCCATGCTCTTGCACTAAATATATTTTATTCTCTATGCAAACCGTTATCTAAAATGTTAGAGGACCACTGAGGGATCTAATTAACTGTTCATTTCCTGTTTTTTTTTTTAGTGGTGTTATTGAACGCAAGGTTCTGGAAGGGCATGGACACCACAAAGCACCCATAGCTTGGCATTAATGAAGGGATTTTTTTTTTTGTCACGAATGTGAGCATCAAGTTTAGAACTCCAAGAACTACTAATTTTAACCCCAGAAGGATGGATTCTCTACCTTTTCTTTTCTGAACCTTTTATAAAAACTCCTTGGGCCACGACAGCTATTTTCCACATATAAAAGCCAAGGCTGATATTAGGGGTAGGAAGCAGGACAATTGCCCAGCGCCCCATGTCATAGGTAGCCCCGCAAAACTAAGTTTTGTGTCATATAGCAGCTATTGGCATTATCATTTGTGAATGTGCAAGAAGAGACTTCAGCTTAGAGAAACTGCACAAATGTTATCTCCACACAACGTAGTTTTTAAAAATATATTTTAGCACCAACAATAATCTTGTGTCCTCAGAGCTGCCGTAAAAGTAGCCTACTTGACCACAGGAAGATGACCCCACGGAGGGACTCTTTAATAGCTTAGCTCATACACTAATCAACAGCTCCCTCCAGGGCCGCATTATGACTTTCGTGGGCCCTAGGCACTTTTGCCTTCGTGGGTCCCTTCCTCCATAATAATATCAATATTAAAAATTATTTTTGATACAACATTTTTTTCTGTTTTAGGAAAAATTTAATAGATTTTCATGGGCCCTAAAATTTTCATTTTTTTCTGATGTGAGAAAAAATTAAAACATTTTCTTTGGCCCTAAAAGTTCATTTTTTTCCTTCTGATTTTAAAAGAAATTAAAACATTTTCGTGGGCCCCTAAAAGTATCGTGGGCCCTAGGCACTGTGCCTACTGTCATCCCTGGTTCCCTCTTACACTAGTAGGGATGTAGTGTAGAGAAAGAGAGCAGGACTGTGAATTCTAAAAACCCACATATGCCCCTCGTTACTCACAGCCTTTGACAAGTGGTGCAAGTTAGGCTGCTTTAACTTGCTGCTGGTGGCTGACTGGCACGTAGCCAGGCCAGGCTCCGAGACCGCAGAGATAGCTTACAGTCTTTACACAATTCACAGCAGAGGCTGTGAGGTTGCTGCACAGTTGCACAGTGAGAGTAGGCAAATAAAATTCTAAACACTGGGTGTTCTCGTCGGTACTCATCAGAAGTAAGTTTTAGCCTTCTGTAAGCTCGATCACTTACAAATATGCAAGGTAAAACAAAAAGCAAACACATACTGAGCATGTCATCAAGGAGAGACACATTTAAGAGTAGGCTTACACATGTCTAACAGGTGCTTAGCTATGTGCATCTTTGTTCTCACTTCATGCTGCTGCTAGACGGGAGCAACATGGCAGCTACCCCCCAGAACTCATTAATACACAACGGAGCCCTGGTGCAGATGCTGTGTGCCCGGCCAGCTCTTTGTACTTTGCGCCTATGGGACTGTGCATGGTGCACAATCAGCCCTCAAAACACATACTCAAAAAAAAAAATTAACAAGATGTCCATAGAGCATTTTAATACAAGGGAGTCCTTTACAGAAGCAGTTTATCCTGCCTGGCGAAGGGTGGCGGTGGTGGTGGTAGTGATGAGGGGGAAAATAGGGGGAGAGGAATGTCTCAGAGCTGCTGGAATAATAGGAACAAATAGGTCACTTTGCATGTTGCATCAGAAACTTGTACCCCTGATTTCTTACCATACTTCATTTCCATAAGGCAGTGGCGTTCAAACTATGGATTGCAGCCCAGTACTGGGTTATAGAATGTCAAGCACTTGGTCTTGTTGCTGCAGGGTGATCAGCTGAGCAGTGGGGGTGCTAAGGCAGGATACCTGCCTGTCCTGGCACCTCAGACTATGCTGCAGTCCAGAGGCTGCCAGCAACAGGCCTGGCTCCTATGTGGGGAGGGGAGAGAGAGCGCACACAGGACTCCATGCACTGCTCCTGGATGCTTCTGGGGTACAGCATGGTCTGGGTGCCAGGGCAGGCAGGAAATTGCCTTAGCAACCCCTCTGCACCACTGACCGGGAGCTGCTCAAAGTAAGTACCTTCTGCCCTAGCCCTGACCTCCCTCCCAAAGCCAGGGCTGCCTCCTACACTCCAAAGCTTTCATTCTGAGCCCCACCATGGAGCCTACACTCTAGTCAAGTTGTGTTGGGTTGCAGGCATCAACTATTTTCTTCAACTGGGACATGAGAAAAAAAGTTTGCAAACCACTGCTGTAAGGTGTGTGGATTTGTAAAAGGGCACTGCTCAGAATGCACAAGTCAACTTGATATTGCTAACTTTAGAAAGCCACTAACCTACTTTGAAATCTATGACTAAAATATCACACCTGAAATTTGCTAAGTTGGAAATAAAAGTGGTAGGAGCCAATCAGAGGAGAATAAGAGAATTTCTGAATATATGAGCTTCAAAACAAACAGGTCGAACTATCATCCCAGTAATACACAGGAAAATGTGTCCCATTGTCTTTTGATGGACTTGACATTGAAAAAATTGTCCTCTCTTATTCCAACAGACATTGACAGAAAACTCTGAACACACTACAAGATCCATGTACTGCCCATTGGGTGCGTTTCCTTACATTTCTGGTATCAAACTCCAACCCAGAAGAAACAAAAAATATCCTATATCGGGGGTAGCCATGTTAGTCTGAATCTGCAAAAGCGGCGAGGAGCCCTGTGGCACATAGACTAATCGAAGTGTTGGAGCATAAGCTTTCGTGGGCAAAGACCCACTTTGCATCTGACGAAGTGGGTCTTTGCCCACAAAAGCTTATGCTCCAACACTTGGCACATTATAGACTAACAGAAGCTTTGGAGCATAAGCTTTCGTGGGCAAAGACCCACTTTGCATCTGATGAAGTGGGTCTTTGCCCACGAAAGCTTATGCTCCAACACTTCGGTTAGTCTATAAGGTGCCACAGGACTCCTTGCCACTTTTTTAAAAAATATCCTGAAATGATATTTACATTCAGTACTGAGATCGCAGTCACTCATCTACAGGTTGGACCTCCCTGGTCTGGCATCCTCAGGATCAGAGGGAAGTCATTTCTGGCCCCCCTGCCCAGCTCTGCTCCTGGTCTGGCTGCCAGCCTCCTGGCTGGCTCCCTCTTAACACTGGCCCAGCTGGGCTCATGAACACAGCAAGGCTACTCTCTGTCCTCTCTGTCAGCTACCCTCCTGCCACCAGCCCTGCCATCCCTGCTGTGGCAGCTTGCTGCCCAGTTGGAGCCCCTGGTGCTCTAGTTGCCCTGCCACCAGCCCACCTGGGCTCCCACAGAAGGGCTCCCTGCAGCCAGCCAGGTTGGGGCTCCCAGCCCCTGCAGAACTCCTGCCTCTGGCCCTCCACCAGGAGACATTGGTCCAGCAACATTCATGGCACTACTAGACCACAGATGTTGCTGGACTAGAGAGTCCTGGTTTGGAGAAGTCCAACCCATACAAATTATTACATTAAGCTGCCTGATAGACTGAACATTGCATTGAGAGTCACGAACTCCAGCATTCTCTTTAACTCTGACACACAGTCTTTTGGCAAATTATTTGCATTACAGTTGTGCTCACATTTGCTAGGTGGAGTACAAACATACAGACAAGTTCCCTAACACCGAAAAGCTTACAAACTGATTTCATCCTAATAAAAAAATCCTCAGTAAATTATTTTATACTGGCTGTAATATAGGGAACTAACTTACCTACCTTACACGTGTTGTGTAGAGCAGTGTTTCTCAACCTTTTTTTATAAAGTACCCCTTTTAAAAAAAATTATAAGTAGCCCCAGTACCTACAAGTTTTCAGACACAATTTTTTTTTCTACCATTGCAACACATTTGTTTAAACAACTTAATCGTAGCTGGGCAGGCAATGAAATTTGTGTGTGTAAAAAGTACAAAAATAATAAAGCGTAAAAAACTTAAAACAAAAATTCAGTTTTTTCCAAATTTCAGTTGTGTTGACGTACTCCCCCAGACTTCTGGTACCTAATGGTACTAATACCACTGGTTGAGAAACACTGGTGTAGAGTACTTAGTTAATAATAATACATTATTATATAATCAAATAACTTTACAAAGCAGTATGAACTAATAATAAGAGAGGCAGTAACCCCAAGATAGAAGCTGGGGCTTACTTCATTTTTGTCAGTATAATTACTGCTTATAAAATCTTTTAGGTTTCCTTTTATTCAAAGTTCCATCAAGGAGAATTTTCTTCCAACTTCGACAATGCTGCCACAGCTAGGTCTCCAATAGCAGAAATACAGGCAAACATCAGGTACCTTAACATTCACACCAAAAACTCCCTTTCCACAATCAGATGATAAAGACATAAAATGTTTATGATACTACAAAAGTAATTCTGAACTTAAAAAAAAAATTACTCATTGCAGCTCCATTATTTTAAGTCACTAAATTCTGTTCTCATAAATCATCAACCTACCTTTTCAGCTGTGTTGATTCTGGTGTTTTTATCCATAGCTGTCACCAAGCAGCAGTGTCTCTTTGAATATTATAAATAATCAGCACAATGTTATACAGAGCTCAGTTCTGCAAAGTCACAATGTGTCAGGAACTATTTCTCAAGAAAAAAAAAGTCTAACAACTATTGGTCTGAAAGCATTTAGGAAGCTATACAAAAGCTTTCCCATAAAAGTCATTTTCTGTGACAGCAGATAAGATTAAAACAAACAAAATAGCCCTAACTGTGTCTACAATGGGAATAACATGTCTACAAAGTGAAGTTTTCCTTGATCTATCTGTCACAGCCTTGTTGCAAATAACCAACCACACATACAGAAAAAAAAACCAACAAAAAACAAAAAGACACCCTTCTGCTTTGTTACATGTTCCTGTAGTTCCTAATTTAGAAGCTTGATGGAAGAAGAGTTTACTACAAGAATTTGCATAGCACTTTAATGAAATAAGACTGTCACAACTGTATGAATGTAGGCTTTCTATTCCATATTTTCCCACATCTTGCAAAATTCTCTCACAATTGACTACAAAGCATTTATTAAAGCTTTGTGTTGTAACAGCCTGTAAACTCTGTGAGGAATATGGGTTCTTATATACCTATAAGGCACCAACCATACTACCATGTTTTGTGAGGTACATTTTGTATGAAAGACACTGGAAGTTTTAAGCATTTTGACTCATCCCAGGTGATTCCTCACATTTTAAGAGGAAAAGTGGTGGACTAATTTACTCGTGTCTGTTACCCAGTCACCTGGATTTTTTCTCTGACCATTCAGGCAGACATCAAGTAGGTGCAGCACCAGCACAAAATGTTAATTGAAGTGTTTGAAAAGTATCTGTAGAACTAAACAAGCTGAATGAAAAATTTTAGAAAAGTAGTTACTTAAATTGTGCTTCGATTGGTGTTGTCCATGAGTATTCTACTTCGGGTGTGTATGAGCCGCATGAAAATGAGATCCACTTCATTTGAACAGCAATGAAGGTTCCTCAGTTCCTTTACCAAACACAGAATCTCTCTGATTCTCAGACTGTAAAAACCCTAAAGGAAGGTGAGACCCAGAATCCATATGGACCAGTTACTGTAGGAAAACCATTTCTTTCTCAGCGACCGCAGGACTAAATGGCCATCCAATTTAGAAGATTCTGCCCAAGAGTAGGGACTTGTAAAGGTCTAGACTGAACTCCATGTTGCTGCCCACAGATTTTGGAGAGAGAGACATTTTTCAAAACAGGGAGCAAAAGCTACCTAAGCTCTAGTTTAGGGATGGAAAAGCCCCCCGGTTGCCTGAATCTCACACCTGAGACATAGGGCATCCCCCAGCATCGGGGAGCCCATGCTGACACTCCAGCTTCACCACAGTCCCCAACTGATTTTTCTGTGGGTCAGCAATCCCTGACCCAAAAAAGGTTTTCTACCCCTGCTCTAGTGGAATGAGCTCTAAAGTGGCTATGTGGCTCTACCCTCGCTAACTTGGAAAACATCCTGATGAAATCAGAATCCCACCCAGAAAATCTTTACAGTTCCCACTTCTTAACATCTGCAAAGGTCCCAATTGATCACGTTTGGCTTCAAAATTAGGCTCAAGACAAATCTCTAAAGGCCAACTACTTACATACCTCATAGCATGTAAGAATTTACATAAAGGCTTATCTACACATACAGCTGCATCACTTAGCCGAAGTCGCTATCTATGCTGATGGGACAGCAATCGTCAATGGCCTGAATGGTCTGAGAATCTTACTATATTTGTGACGTTTAACTTCCTCTGGGGATGAATGACACTCTGGAAAAAATGGGGAAGTGAACTTATGGGGGGAGGGATAGCTCAGTGGTTTGAGCATTGGCCTGCTAAACCCAGGGCTGAGTTCAATCTTTGAGGGGGCTATTTAGGAATCTGGGGCAAATCTGTCAGGGATGGTACTTGGTCCTGCTGTGAGGGCAGGGGACTGGACTCTATAACCTCTCAAAGTTCCTTCCAGTTCTATGAGATAGATAGGTATAAAATGCTGAAATAGATATGGGCAGGAACTTAATGACCCTATCTTTACAAAATGCCATATAATGAGCTAACGTGGTGTCCCAAATCTTTTCTACTCTTTCAGCAGAGGTAATCGCTACTAAAGAGGCAGTCTCCATTGTCGATGATAGAGGGCAGTGGTAGGCAACCTGCAGCCCAAGGGCTACATGAAATGCATTGGGGTTCTATGCATGGTCCACAAGGCATTTTGTTTATCATTGTCCACGCACAAGGGTTGCAGATTCTGCTGGTTTTCGTCCCCATTGTTCTTCTTACCAGCATTACAGAAGTGACACACACTTAATGCAAGGGCATGTGAAGTGAGGTGCATGCTGACTATACCCAGCATTGAAGGAGAGCTGCGTGCTCCCTCTGAACTCTGAGTGCACTTTGGATGTAATCAGTACACCCTGCAAATTCTAGGTACACAAGTGCCGTCAGCAAAACTACTCTATCCCGGGAAACTGTGTTGGATACAACAACCTTGCAGCTAATGATATGAAGGAGGCCCACTCACTAGTCCAGGTTGCCCATTGCCGGTATAGGGGAGACCCATCAACTAGAGAGGATGCTCCTCCACCTGGGGAAAAACATGAATCAAGGCCCTAAGAACATTTGCCACTGAAGGGAAGGAAAAAAAGCATGTAGGTGGATATTGCTGAACAGGTGCTTATAGAGCTGATCGAACTTTCTATTTGTTCACCTACCCTGACATAGTTGGAAAAATCAAAGCAGTTACTGGGCCCTTTACTGGATTCTAGACCTCATATATCTTGACTTGCTGGAAGTCAGATGACAAATATGGGCTTTGTGAGTTTGGTACGGACTAGCTGCGTGCATAAGAATGGCCATATTGGGTCAAACTAAAGGTTCATCTAGTCCAGTATCCTGTCTTTTGACAGCGCCACGTGGCCCAGAGGGAACAAACAGAACAGGTAATCATAAAATGATCAATCCATCCCATCACCCATTCCCAACTTCTGACAAACAGAGGCTAGGGACACCATTTCTACACATTCTAATAAGCATTGATTGTCCTATCCTACATAAATTGATCTAGTTCCTTTTTGAACCCTATTAAGGTCCTGGTCTTCACAACATCCTTGGGCAAGGAGTTCCACAGGTTGAATGTGTTGTGTGAAGAAATACTTCGTTTTGTTTGTTTTACACCTGCTACTTGTTAATTTCTTTTGATATTCACATAACATAACTAGATATCAAGTAAATAACTCTTCTTTATTCACTTATTTTGATATTCACATAACACAAGAACTAGATATCCAGTAAATAACTCTTCTTTATTCACTTTTCCCATCCCAGTGATGATTTTATAGACTTCTAGTATATTTCCCCTTATTCTTCGCTTTTCTAAGATGAAAAGTCCGTTTTATTAATCTCTCCTCATAAGGCAGACATTCCATACCCGTAGAGAGTTTTGTTGCCCTTTTCTGAACTTTTTCCTGTTCCATACCTGTAGACAGTTTTGTTGCCCTTTTCTGAACTTTTTCCCCATGCCAAGATATCTTTTTTGAGATGAGGTGACCACATCTGCGTGCAGTATTCAAGATGTGAGCGTACCATGGATTTATATAAAGGGAATAAGATATTTTCTGTCTTATTCTCTATGCCTTTCTTAATGAGTCCGAACATTATTTTCTTTAAAAAAAGTAAACAGACTGCTGCTGCACACTGAGTGAATGTTTTCAGAGAACTATTTACAATGACACCAAGATCTCTCGAGTGGTAGTAGCCAATTAGTCCCCATCACTTTATACATATAGTTGGGATTATGTTTTCTAATTAAGGATGTGAACAGTTAACTGGTAAGTAGTACCCTTACCACATGATGCTTACTGGTTAGGGTTCATTGGTGGGCTGGAGCAACCTCTTGCCCATTGCAGGAAAGGAACTGGCCCAGCTAGGCAAGGCCCACCACACCGTGCACAGTGGTGCTCCAGCTTGGCTGGAGCAGCTCGTTTAACCAGTCAAATATAATCCTTAACCGGTCAAATACAATCTTTAATCAGTTAACTGATTAACTGGGATTTTACATCACTATTTTCAGTATGCATCACTTTGCATTTAGTAACATTAAAAATCATCTGCCATTTTGCTGCCCTAGGTTTGTGAGATCCTTTTGAAGCTCTTCACAGTCTGCTTTGGACTTAACTATCTTGCACAGTTTAATATCATCTGCAAATGTTGCCATCTCACTGTTTATGCTTTTCTCCAGATCATTTGTGAATACATGAATCTGACTGGTCACAGGATGGACCTCTGTGGGACACCAATAATTATCTCTTTCCATTCTTAAAACTGATAATTTATTCCTATCCTTTGCTTCCTATCTTTTAACCAGTTATCAGTCCATGAGAGGACGTTCCCTCTTATCCCATGACAGCTTATATGCATCATGTTGGCAACTCTTTCAAATGCTTTGATCTAGTTCTCTTTAAAAGGGGACCAGATCAAAGTGTATAAATGATTGTCAACGAGTGCATCAGCAGGATGCAGTTATCTCATGAAAGGGGTATGTGTGTGTGCATATGAAACAGTGTGCATAAAGACTCACACTCCAACTTGCCATGAATTAAGTTTACATATACAAACCCTGGGTGATAAGAGACTACTTGAATCAAACTGAAACCAAATGCATGCTATACACTACCTGACACATGTAATCAGGTCTGATGGGCTGAGGCCAGGTGTTAGTTAAGAGAAATTAAAATGAAAGTCAGCCATGAGATTTCAAGTCTGAGCTTTAATATCAGAACTAAAACATCTTTTGTTGAATTCATCTAAACCACTTAAAAATGGATGTTCAAATTCTTATGGCACAAAATTCTGGCTCAGAGCTGGTGGGTCATTTGGCCAATTAAAAAAAAAAAAATACAAAAACAGGGCTTTCACCGCACAATATATGAATCAGAACTGAGCAACATCTTAAAGCTTTTTAAAAAGTATCTGGCCAAATTCTACTGAGAATTTGTGCAATCCATTCTTTTTAAAAAAATACTTTTAATAGGTTTGCACAAGTGTAATGGAGAATTTTTACACAGATTGAGTCTCACTTAAATTACTAACATTTTGAAAATTTAGACATACAAGAGCAAATTTAAAACTATCCCTGCAGTAAGGATTAATTGTTTTTAGAAATAATGGTTGAGACTACTTACAAAAATTGATTCCACATATACTAAAAAGGTCAATGAGTGAGAGAGAACTAAATTTCAGTAATTTCATCTTTTCCCACCATGTTTGACAAAAGTTAAATACAGACACAGAATGGTTCTTGTGCAGGCATCTGTTGGCAGTACACTTAATATAAGATGGTATAATGCATCTAGGTAATCTCACTGGTTTATGAAACTGTCTTTAGTCTGTGGTTGACCTTCGGTACCAAAATCGAGCTCTGTAGTCATCACTGCATGTCATGAAACCAGGATTGGTCGGAGAATGAACAATACAACGGACAATACTGTTATGCCCCAATGACAGAAGATTTCGCCGTTCTGCAGTTCTTGAGTCCCAGCAGCAGAGACTTATGGTCCTTTCATCAGGTAGCAACACATAGTCCTCTGTGTGGTTAAAGACTGCCTGTGTTCTGTGTACCTGTCGTCCACTCAAACCAGCTCCTATAATAGCAAGGACATGATATTCATTGTAAGTGTAAATAAAACATGTAACCTAGAGTAGCCTTGTTTAAAAGGGAGACTGTCAAAAGCCTAACAAGGAGTCTCTCCTTTAGATATTACTTAGTAAGGACCATCAACAAAGGTCAGCTTTGTGTTCACTGATGAATATTTTAGAAAGGTTTTGAGAAAGTTCTGCCATAACATGTCTCCTCCCACCCTCACTACAAAACGCCTATTTGCCAAATCCCCAGTAGCACAAAGAAAAGCAGCAATAGTCACAGCCCTGAAGAATGACAATTATGCTAGGGAAAATGCCCTTCCAAACTGTTCATACACAAGGCAACGCACACCCTCCTGATAATATAATAACAAGATTAGTATTTAGATGCTGAACACAACTCAAGACTAATTTGAGAATTGGATCACTAAAGGGCATCCAAATTTACTGAAACTAATACCGGACCATCGGAAGTCAGAGCACTGCAGAAAGAACTGTGAAATGAAGGCATGTCTTCTTCATACTATTTTTAAATCTTTCTGGGTAGTTATAATTCAGATCACACTTCAAATCCTGACTTACATAATAAGAGATGAGTTTGGGAATAATTTGAGTATGGTGAATATTTATATTCAAGAGACTTAAAACTATTTTAATAGGAATGGTGAACTTTTCTTGTGTTCTGTCCAACATTGCATGGCACGTGCCCTAGGGATGTAAGCGACTAGTCGACTATCCAGTAAGTTTATGCTTATCGGATAGT